AAAAAAAAAAAAATCATATCAAACACCAACATGCTCCTTCTCTTATGTTCTTATGTAATCAATGACATCATCATCCACATTGACTGATATTAAAATACCCCAGACATCCATGACTACTACTTAACCCTCCATATCTAGTTGATATAAAAACCCTATTTATCTTACAACCAGAATGTCTTCTAAATCTTTTAAATTACTACTACTCATGTGCAAGTCCGGCCCTATTGTTTTTATCCAAAACTATTAAAATATCCTCCAAACTGATTTCCCTGCCATTAGTTTGTTTTAATCCTAGTCCATGATCTGACATTCCCTTACCTGAGATCCTTCATTGGCTTCCTATTGCCTATTGGATAAAATCTCAACTCCTTAAAATAGCATACAATTTTCTTTACAATGGGGCCTTAGTTTATTTTCAAGCTGTATACTGAGTCCAGAGATTGCAAACATTGGCCACATCTGACCTGCAGATCCTTATGTTTGTTTTGAGCTCACACAATATTTTTAAAATAGGAAAATTTTACATAAGATTACAAATGTCAAGTTTTCTTGAGAAATTTAAAAAGCAGGTAATGCTGAGCCCTCATTTTCTAATAGAAATAATCAGCTGGAGCTGAGAAGTTAGATTACTCTTATGCTCCCTGCCACCCTTTATGAGGGTGTTGCACTCCACTCAGAGCAGTTCCTCATCTAGACTCATCTATGTTATCTGCCTAGCTCATGAAGCCTCTAAGAGTACTGCTCTAGTCACCACATATTCTCCCCACACTGTGCTTTCTTCTCTAGCCACCAAGAAATTCCATGCTTCTCTGTCTTTGTATAGGCAATTGCCTCTATCTAGAATGCTCTCTATTCATTTTGTTACCCTAGTTAACTTTTTAAACTCCTATCTATCCTTCAAATCTAGTTCAAATTTTATTTACTTTCTAAAATAGTCTCTGGACTACTCTCCAACTCTATTTACCATATAATGGTTACTGCCTCATCTATAATTCCATAGTTCTATTACATCAACCCACAGGAGAATTGTCAACACTATAACCAGAAATAATAGGACAGTGTAAAAGCCACCACAAATGATGTATAGTTAAAATGGTGAAAAAGGAAGAAACACAAAACATAAGGAAAAAAAAAAAAACTTAAGCTTTTTGGAAATGAAAAAAATATAATGCATTGAAATTAAATCTCAATGGATAGATTAAAAAACAGATTATACACAGCTGAAAAAAGAAATAGTAAAGTGAAAGACTGAGCTGTGAAAGTCAACCATAGAACAACGATAAGCTATAAAGCAAAGTATGACAGAGGGAGTAAAATAAGTGAAGAACATACTGAGAAGGTCCAGTATAATTCTACTAGAATTTCCAGAGAAGATAGATAACTGAGTGAATGAATACGTCATGACTCATGTTTAGGAAAAGTTTTGAAAATCAGGTCAGTAACTGCAAGCCTGCTTACCTATGGAGAGACTTTTGATCCCAGACAAATGTAACAACAGAGTAAGTTACATTAGACACATTGTTGCCTGTCCAGCAGCATGTGCTCTTAACAGTCACTGCCCTGTCAGCCTGGGGTTCATGCTCAGTGATGCAATCTCCATCTGGGGCCCAGGAAATCTGTGCAGCTGGCTTCCCTGCAAATGCTTTGCACACAGCAGTTCTATTCTTCCCTGAGAGAAGTGTTACCCCTGGAGACACTGTTGATGAGGACAGGAAAAAATTGCTTCATGTTAAATATATAAAAAGTAAGAGTTTATCTATGAGTATTTATTGAGAACCTACTGGTAGTGCATGTTGATTAAGGGCATGGGCGCTGGAGTAAAATTATCTGGCTTCAAATCCTGGCACGCCTGCTTCCTAACTCAAACAAGTGACTGCATTTCATCAAGTAAAAGAAAGCTATAATTTTTAAATGTATCATTATGTAAGTGACACTAGGAAAGAAAAACATACATCAGTTATTTTATGACATGTGTTCTATAGTAACCCCGGGTGGTACAAACAGTTAACGTGCTTGGCTGCTGACCAAAAGGTTGGATGTTTGAGTCACCCAGAGGTGCCTTGGAAGAAAGGCCTGGTGATCTACTTCCCAAAACAATCAGCCACTGGAAACGTTATTGGGCACAGTTTTACTCTGGCACACACAAGGTCTCCATGAGTCA